GTGGATGAAGTCATTAAGGGAGAGAATATATAGCATAAAAAAGGCCACGCACAAAACATGTGAGCATAGCTATGGAGGGGGAGCAAGAAAAAGAAGCAATGAATAAGCCAGGAATGGTCAGAAAGGTAAGAGATGAACCAAGATAGTATAAGATGATCACAGGAGCCAAGGAGGAAACTTTAAGAAGGAGGCAGTGGTCAACAGCATTAAATGCTTGAAGGGCAGCGTCAAGAGAATTGGTGAGCAAAGCCAGACTTAATAATTAACCATTCAAAGGCAGCTAGGTGGTGCAGTGGATAGAGCCCTGGCCCTGAAGTCAGGAGGACCTGAGTTCAAATTCGGCCTCAGACCAAGCACTTGACACTTAGTAGCTGTGTGACCCTGGGCAAGTCACTTAACCCCAATTGCCTTAAGAAAAAAATAATTAAGTATTCATGATGGAGTGAAGGCAAGGAAAGGTGAGAAATAAGACAGCAGTTTGAGAAGGTAGCAAGTTGGTGGGAAGATTTTTTTTAAACACCTATTTGTAGGTTAAGTGAGAGAATAAATGTAAAGTGCTTCATAAATGTCAGTCAGTCAATAGTAAACAAACATTTATTAAGTGTTTACTGCATGCCAGCACTGTCCTAAGCCTAGGCATACCAAGAAAGGCAAAAACAAACCCTATCATCAAGAAGCACACATATTAATGGGTAAGAGAACATGCAAACAACTATGTACAAGCAATTATACAAAGACAAATTGGAGGTAATCTCAGAAGGGAGGTTTGAGCTTTAATGAAAACTGATTGCAGAAGGTAGGATTTTAGCTGAGACTTGAAGAAAGCTAGGAGAGCCAGGAAGCCGCAGCAACAAGGAGGGAGGGCACTCCAGGCTTGAGAGGTAGTTTTAAACTTTTAGAACGTCATGGAAGGAAGTCATGCTGTAACACAAAATGCCCCGTGCTGCCCAGGGGAATGAGACCAGGTTGGAGAATGAAGAGGGGATACTATCCCTATTACTTTTTTTGCTTATAAATCAATTACTATGAGCCCTAGTTATATGGTTATCCTAAATTCCAGGGCAGGCTGAATTTCAAGTAGCCTTGAGAAACAAAATCATAAGAAGAAAGCAATATAGATACCTTAGACAGGAAATGAGGAAGATGACTTCTCTGTACCATTTGACTATTAAATTTAGAATCCAGACATAGGAAGGGACAGCCAGTGTAAACACCCAGAGTTGGGAGATAGAAGTCTTGTGCTAGGGACCACAAGGAGAGCAGTATCACTAGAATATAGATTGACTGGAGCAAATTGTAAGGAGATTGTAAATATAAAAAGGGGCCAGATTATGAAGAGCTTTAAAAGCCAAACAGAGGATTTTCTTTTTTTTCCTACAGGTAATATAGAACTACTAGAGTCTATTAAGTGTATATTCGTGTGTGTGTGTGTGTGTGTGTAAGAAGAGGCAGCATCTGACTTATTTGACAAATGGATCTTTTTCTTATTTTTTTATTTTAAGGGGAAAAAATTTGCTTGTATTACTAGAAGGTCCCAAAAGACTTTGGTGATGCTTCTTGCCAACTCTCCTGATGCTGTCAAAGGAAGAGTTTCAATCTATATTGTGTATAAATCGAGTCAGCAAAAACCTGAATTTTTAATTTTTTATTACAGAAGGATAAATTTCATTTCATCATGAATTTTTCCTCAACTAAATGTTCTGTAATTTTTTAAAAGATATCACTTACCCACTTCTAACTCTGTGACCAAATACAACCGTGTAAGTTTTTGGCTTTCTATCCCCCAGTTTCACTGACCTTGTAGTGAAATATCTTTTAATCTTCTGTATAGTTTTACCTCTTGATATGTATGTTTAATAGATATATCACAAGTTGTCTACACAAGTTGTGTGTGTGTGTGTGTGTGTGTATGGAGGGGGTTTGACAGAAAGCTTAGGCATCTGAGTTGAAGATGAATTGTCATGAGGGAAGACTTGAGATGATCAGAGCCTGTAACAGTGTGGTACTTGTGTCTCTCCAAGTGGATGCTACAAGAGACTTTTCGAAGATGGAATCAACAGTTCTTGGCAACAGATTGGGTATGTGGTGGGAGGTGAGAGTGAAGAGTTGAAGATGACATGTAGGCTTCCAGTCCAGGTAACTGGGAAGATGGTGGTGCCCTTGAGGGCAAGAAGGATGTTCAGTAGAGGTAATAGTTTGGGGAAACAGGAGTTCAGAAAATGATGGCACACATTGGGCTTCTGCAGTTGGGGTATATAAAACTGGTAGAGAGGCCAGTTGTTTATTTACTAAGACAGTAAGAAGACAGGAACTATTCAATAAATTTTGTGATTCCCACATTTAGGCCCAACTTATTTCTACCAAGGAGAACAAAACTAAAAAAATTATTTAAATTTACAAAGCTTTTCTATGATTTCAAGGGTCAGCATGGCCAGTGATTACAAAGCTGCTCTCAGGAAACTCTGGGTTTGAGTCCCAACTCCAATACATGCTGGCTGTCACTAGGCAAGTCAGAGAAGATACAGATCTGTACCTGGTAGAAGTGTCTTCATGGAGGGTTCCAATATATATCAGTATATCAGAGAAATCACAGGTTCAGTCCTATTCCCAACCATATTATGGCTGAAAAAGCACTTTGTTGCCTCAACAAAAGGCAGCAGATGCACAATGATTTTGGCCCCAAAGCCTTGCAAGGGGGCTGTACGTAATTGGGGCTCCACTTATTTCCTTTTCCATCCCAAAGAAGCCTTTATCTTTATTGAGCTAGTATCAAGTTCAGGTTTTATGGGATCATATATCTTACCCCTTATTTTATCTATGAGGAAACTGAGGCCCAGATAATTGACTTTCTAAGGTCATATAAGTAGCAAAGAGCTAAGCTAAGATTCAAACCCAGATCTTCTGATTTTAAGTCCACTCTTTCTACTGTACTGTGCTATCTCCCCTAAGTGGGAAAGGCTTACAAGGCAACAAAAATGTATTAAGTGCTTACAATGTGATAGGCACTGTGCGTATATAGATTTTTGAATTCTGGATTTTGAATTCATTATACTTCAGATTGAACATAACTATTAATAATTATTATTCTGGAAGGTAGAGAAGATGGTCAATGAGAAAGAAGATAACTGAGCAAGGTTCTGAAAGAGGCAGGAGAAATGGTATGAAGAGGCAGAGACAAAAAGGAGACTTTTGGGGGGGAGCTATAGAGAGGTTTTGAGGTGAAGAGGGAGAATGACACCATGGATTTTATGAAATTCACGTCAAAAAGTCAAGGTCAGAGTAGAGGGCCATAAGAGAGTAGGTCCAAAGATCAAAAGTAAAGAAACAGTGGGAATTTTTTTTTTTTTTAAGTTGAATCATAAGAACTAGAGGCATGGGAGCCCAAGCTAAAAAAAAAAAAGAAAAAAAAAAGAAAAAAAGGTCTGTTTGGTAAACACAACTGAACTTTAACACTCTGAAATGCAAATACTCTTCCACCTGTTTTCAGTAATTGCCTTTCCCGGGGGTGAGGGAAAGGCCACGTTGCCCTCTAGGTCCTCAAGTGTGGCCCTTTGACTGAATCCAAATCAGTTAAAGGGTCACATATGGCTTCGAGGCCACAGGTTCCCTACCCCTGGCCTTTCCTAAAGATACCTGAAGGAAGCATGGAGATGGGGTCATAACCCAGCACAGGTTTCTCAGGTTTCCTCTAACTATCCTTCATTTTCTTTCCTCAGCCTCAGACAATAGATGGTTACAACAGTTTCTTAGTAACCTGCATGTACTCCTAGAATGCCTGTCATTGGAAAATTGCTGCTCATACCTTCTGCCAACATTAATCTTGTACTTATCTCATTTTACATCTCGGTGAAACAGAGGCCTAGTGCTTTACCTCAGGCTACCCATGGCAGCCTGAGAAAAATTGAGTTGTCTCTATACCTAACCCTTAACTACACAACCTTTTAAAAAAAAAGTCATGGGGGCAGCTAGGTGGTACAGTGGATAGAGCACCAGCCCTGAAGTCAGGAGGACCTGAGTTCAAATCTGGCCTCAGACCAAACACTTGACACTTACTAGCTGTGTGTGACCCTGGGCAAGTCACTTAACCCCAACTGCCAAAAAAAAAAAAAAAAGTCATTCATATTGCTACCTGAGACAGAGAACAAAGCTACTCCTGACTGCTTTCTCTTTCTAAGTGGATATGAGGAACTCCAAAGAAGAGCCATCTTTTGTATCTGAGAATGTTTTTTTCCAGGAGCACTTCTCTGTTCCCTAATTGCTTTTAGTTTACCATTTTATTCACCTATCACAGGGATTCCAGCAAATAGGAGCCTTTCCTTAAGAATGAACTGTATAAGCTAATACCTATGATATAATAGAAATGCCAAAAGAACTCCAGACCCACACATTTCCACTCAAACATGGGGAGGGAGGGAGATTTTTCTTTCTTGTGTCTTCCCCCAAATAAAAGGGAAATAATTATCTTTGTGGGCAGCAAACAGGTCTTACACTTCTTTTGTATTTCCCATAAATGCCCACCCTAGAATTGGTCAGAATAGGTCTTCAAAAACACCATTTGGCTGGTTGAGTTTTACTTCTCTTCACACCCAAATTCATGTTTTTTGAGAAGAAATGTTATTTTAAGAGGGGGAGTGAATAACACTAAAGTACTATACAGTATGTGGTACTTCTGGGGCCGTGCGATATACATAACCTTCTGGGTGTGTTCTTGTAACTGAATTTACCAGTGGTAAATACCATACTGATGCACGATGTGTGCACCTAAGGCAAAATTTGACTAGGCAGGTCATGAGGCCTACAAAACTGCCACTGCTAGCAACTGTTGAGTCAGTATTTTATGAGGTCTTCTAACAATAAAACAGAGTTTGAAATATGCTGTGTAACATTATTCCTTTAATTTTATGGTGAGTCTGACGTTACCCAAACATTACCATTAAATTGTGCACGGGGGGGCAAAAAAAAAATACACAGGGGAAAAAGAGATACAGAGGAAAAGAAAATCTGGAAAAATTATTTTATTGCAGGATATCTATGAGCACCAGTAAACTGAAGTAAATATATAATACAAAATACAACTGCTTCCCTAAGGGCCTAATGCTTTATCATGATGTGATGAAGACCTTCTGCCCTCAAAGGCCATGCCAGCAGAGTCCCAGTTCTAGCCATAACAAGCTAAAAAGGCTCCATGAAGGGGTCCAGAGACAGACTGTGTGTCTGTTGCTTACAGACCAGCCTAGCTAAGCTGAGAGACAAAATACTAGAAGGCTGGCCATTGTATACATTTTTTTTGGGGGGGGGTTGGGAGGAGGGGAGAAGAGGGTACAATTTATGAAAACATCTACTAAGGCTTGTGTAGAGGTTGGTTTGTCATCTGCATCAGCAGAGGGGAGACCCCCACAAATTAAATTTTGGATCCTTGAAGTACAGAACATAATTAAGGGATAAGGCTAACCAAATTATATTTATTGAAGGCCAACACTAGTATACAAGGGTGAGAGCTAAACTGTGGAGTCACACACATGACTTCTTCTCAGTACATTTTTGGTCACCAGGTAAGCCACACGATGTTATTATGAGGTAGCACATGATTATCTTTTATATTGTACAGACAAAGTCAGAGAGATTGAGTTAATCCTCAGTATTGCCAAAGGCAGCCAATTGAAGAACTCAAGACTTTATACTACCACTGCAACATTTCTACATTGGCAGAGTAGGATATTTGTGGAATTTTCCAAGAATTTGACAGCTTTCACTTAGGTACAAAGAGCTGTTCACCATGATCCTTCAGAGTACAATGCTGACTCCGGTTTTGCAAGGATTCTCTAGCCAAAGGTAACAAGTCAATGGCCAATGGCTGGCTCAGGTCTCTTTTCTCTGCCTTCAGCTCCTCTGGTGACCTTCCCACTTCCCCTGCTTAGTCTACGGCCCCACAAAAGCTGGAAGGGCCTTGGGAGGCAGATGTTAGGCTCCAGCCCACATCTGGGTTCTACAACTGGACCTCTCTGGCTTTAAAAATCAAAACAATTGTCTCTACAAGTGTAACTCAAATTATCCTGGAAAATTAGAAAGAGATAAAGAGGACCAGGAAGAGGAAGACAGAATGATGAAACTTAAGAACTTTCTAGTAACAGTGACTTCTGCACAGGGGACTTATTATTTGGTTTGAAGTCCTTTAAATTCCTGGAATATCAGACAGATCTAAATTCTAAAATACAAAAACTCAAAAGATGGGCGATTTCCCTACATAGGGAACTCCTTCAATTAATGAACATTATGACCCCTCTATGATCTGGTAGATCAATCCTAGGGAGTTGCATGACTTACCCAGGGGTCACAAAGCTAATAACCGGCAGAGGATGGGATCTGAACCTAGGTCTTCCCGATTTCAAGCCCAGCCCTTGTTGGGCTTAGCACATTGCTGCTATAGTCTATATTCCCATATTGAGTTGGAAAAATGTCTTCTAAAGCCAAATACAAATGACTCTGATTCTCTGATGTTTGGGATTATTTGTACCATATGGGCTTAAATCAATAAGTGACTGTAATGTGTTTGACATTGCCAGAGTAGAAGTAGTTTCATTCCTGAGCTATGCTAAAGAGTCTCCCTTTACTCCTGATAACTGATGTATTTCTCTGGAAAACCTTACACCATTGGTCTGAATATAGGCTGTACTGCTAAATCTGAAAGGAAAGACAAATACATGGAGACAAACTAGAAAAATAAAAAACCCAAAACACCAAAGCTTATAGACTACACTTAAATTTCATACAAGCCACATTTGGGAGGGGAGAAAAGCATAGATTATATTTGGGCCAGCAGGAGCATGGTTTCTAATGAAGTGAAGATTAAGGGAGAAAACAAAAGAGAGGAAGAAGCTTCTAATGGTTTTTTTTTTTGGGAAAAAAAGGATTCTGTAGTAACATGTAAGAAGGTAGATTCCCATTAGTAGAGGATAATGGTTTTGTGTTACAAATATTCACTTATAAGGGAGATGACAGGTCAGCTGAACCGTAACTCTTAGAAATCTAAGCAGCTTTTGCATAAACTCAAAAGGAACAATGGCTCACATCCCTCTTCTTTCCCTGCTTCTACTACCATCTATACAATTGTCCTAATTGTATAGTTACATGGCATACACATACCAGAAAACATAATTGACTTGGTTGAGGTAAACACACTAATATCTCCTATTCACAAAATTAGATATAATCACAAAGGGCAGTGTTTCTGTAAGAATAGGATAATAACTTTAGAATGTGCCTAGTCAGGCATATATTTGATACTAGCAAAAAACCTGAAGTTAGAAAAGAGGTCAACAATAGCATCTGATTTATCTGTACTTCTTCAGGGAATAGAATGTTTTTGGATTATGCATCATTACACCTCCAGCCAATGACAAAAGCACTTGCTCTTAGAGGACAACACAGTCATCACATCTTTGCGCTTTTAAAATTATGAACTCAAGATTACCGTAAGGGAGCTGAAAAGTAATTTGACTTAGAAGTAATATCAACCTACAAAACGGAAAGTCTGGTGCTATATTCTTAATGTTGCACTGAATTCCAATGAGGGGGCTGGACTATATTTTCCTGCTTAGGGATCCTTTGCTCATGCATTACATATCATTCTTTCATTAATCAAGGATGATACTTAATTCTTAACGGCTTATTATTAGAAGTGTAAACATTATCCCATTCCTACGTAAAGGTGAACTTTTTCAGTCTGAGAACAGAAATACTTTAAGTCTTTCAAAGGTTAAGTATCAATAACTTTTGTGGGGAGGCTAGTCAGCATGTCACCATTTGTTTACATAGTGCTGCTTAAATGATTAAATCCAATAGGTTAGGGTATTTGAAGGCTCCTCACATAATGGAAACCAACTCAGGTAAACATGAGTCAGTCGGACAATGATAATGAGAGAACTTCGTCCAGCGCTATTTGCTACAAAGCATCCAGGAGCCAGCCAGTTCAAGACAACTTAGCTCTTGACCTGTCAAAAAAGCTGTCATTTTAAGAAGCTTGCAACTACAAGGTGGTCCCATGACATGCAACCTGAAAATGGGATTTTCGCTGAGCATTCAAGTTAGACTGCGAACCAAGCAAGGAGTCTATACGTGCTTCCAAGTTCTTGGAGCTTTCTGATAGTGGCTTGCAAAAGCACAAGATAGCTCCAAAAAACTTGTTTTCCCTGAAACCGCCTGTAAGCTGCTGCAATATTTTGTCATCTTCAGATGTTAAGACAGTACAAAAAAGACTGGAGGAGTGTCCTACATTCTTGATGGGCCTCTGCTGTACAGCCCAGTTAGTAAACCTCACACTGACTAGACAAACCATCCAGAGCCACAGGCCATCTTATTTCTTTCTTCCTCTTCTTTTTTTTTTTTTTTCCTGAAACATAGTAATAGTTCTTCTTGGTGTGCTTTGAAGTGGCCTAGAAAAGTCTCATCCATTGCAGTTGTTTTTTTTTTTTTCTTTCTAAGTTCCACTTATGATGAAGTAGAACTAGAATCCTCCTAGAAATCCTCCACTTATTTCTTGAAGTTTCTTTCTTTCTGTCCATGAGGCTATTTTATCCATTCTGGTTTTCATATAAAAATGGAAGCAATCTTTTTGGATAGTTCTGTCCAGCACACCAAGCCTTAGCAACAAATAATTCTCCTCTTAACACCATTATCTCATCACTTTTGCTCTTGGGAATGTAAATTCTCTTGCTCAGAATCTGAAAAGGTTTTGTTTTGTTTGTTTTTAAGATGCAGACAATCTTAAAACAAAAACGGCACATAAGCCTTCCTATGCTTTGGATAGGAGTCAAACTTGCTCAGGTAAAATTTGTGGCTCAAAACAGCAGCCAAGGCCTGGCTGAAGAGGACGTATGATACCACAAGCCACCAGGTAAAATTACAGAATCCAAAGGTGACGGCCAAGGACACATAGATCATCAGTTCTGCAAAATAATTAGGGCCAGAAACATATTCAAACCAGTCTCCAAAAGGAATTCTGTAGTTAGAGTGAATGACCTTTCCTGAAATGAAAAAAAGACACAGCATGAATTTGAAATGAAGGTGTTTTTTGAAGTGAGTTCATGCTCCAGAAAACATGCAGTTATACTTGTGTCTATATTAGTCTCACCTACCTACATATAAAACACATAACCCTGAAATAATATGACTAATTTCTATATAAAAAACTATACAATTCAGAAAGCCAAACATTAATAATTATAAAATAAAAACTAGTACAAAAAGTTTGTGTAAAAAAGAGATAATTAGCATTGTATTTGAAAAAAAAATCCCAACTTAATGTGATAACCTCATCTTTTATATAAGCTTGATGACAAAAACTGAGATCATTACATGTTAAGGACAACTTTCTATAAAAGACTTAATTTTTTAGATCAAAACTGAATTTATTAGAAGAAACAACCAACCACTTGGCAGGCCAATTCAGAAAATAAGAGGATTCTCAGGCTAACCATGTAAATTATCTGGATTATTTTAGGCCAAAAAGTATACTTTGAGTTAAAGGTTACTTTCTGGGGCTTGATTATCTTGTATTTTTGCATATAACAACAACAATAGCAGCTAGCATTTCAAAGTTTGCGAAACCTCTTAAATAGCTCACTTTGCTCTCACAACAACCCATTACAAATGTAGAAACAACCTATCCCAAAGGCTGATGTTTAATTTTACTTTTAAAGAAGGAAAGACAACTTAAAGAGCAGGGTAACTGCAGATGGATAAACAAAGGGCTAAAGTTTGAGAGGTTATAAATTAAAATTTTTCTTTTTACCCTGGCATATTTACATGTAGTTTGAGGCCAAGATAGGATCTCTCAGAGTCAGTATTCCAAATTAGACAAGACTTACAAGGTTCTTGGAGAAAGGAATTAAAAATACTTACTATCTGTGCATTTCAGAGGCATAAAATGTTAAATAAACGCTAAGTAAGGCAACAGAATTCCATACCCCCCAAGACAGTGAGCACATGAATTAGGAGCTCCATATTCTTAGGAATTCCAAAATTTCCTCGTTGTCAATGGATTTAATTTATTCCTCACCAATTTTTTTTTTTTTTTTTTACTAGAAAAGCAGTTAACTGACCAATTGGGTTTTCTTCTCTTCCTTTCTCATGATTCTAATAGGAACCATGACAAATGTCGCTAATACTTTATAGTATGCTTTCAACAACTCTAGGAGGTAGGTGGCTGGTAGTAGTATTATCCCGTTTCTCCGATGTCAAGATGTCTGTCCAAAAGGTGGGCAACAGGATAGCACTTTAGAATCACAGAATTTTGTTTATTTTAAATGTTTTAAATTATAAACCTAATCACCCAACATGTACATTTCAATGTACAAGTATTAAAAAAGAGGTTTAAATGTAAAATTGTAAACTTGTTAGATTTTTTTTTAGCATTTACTAAATTTTAACACGGTAGTAACAAGACTGCCCTGTTATCGTGCCTTTCTGAATTTCTATTTTTCTTCTGCATATTTTAAAATGTTTTATAGATGCTCTTTTTTTGAATCTCTATTACTACCCACTAATTCTTTGTGCACCACCTCTCCCCAAACCCTTCCTCATAACAAATGATTGTCAAGCAAAACAAAGCAACACATCAGCTATGTCTGAAAAATGTAAGAATCTTTGAACATTAAAGCTGGAAGGGATAGAAATCATCTGGTCTAAACCCCTCATTTTACAGATGAGAAAACTGAGACCCTGATAGGTAAAGTGATTTGCACTAAGATATATGTCTGGTGAGTGAAGAAAAGAACAATTGTCTCTGAAGATGGGCAATTATAGGCTGGAAATTTCAATAAGCTCACCTGAATCATTTTTCCTCATATTAGCCAGGATGACATGGCACCTGTGTTGATGGACAGATGACCAGACGTACATCATCATCCCCAGGATATGGAACCAACGTGTTTGCATCAACAGACCTTTCCCTGTGTAAACTGTGGATGTGATGTGACAGTTACCTGATTAGTAAAATGTTGTTATCAGAAATATAGCATGTTTGAAAAAAGAAAAACCTTGTTGAGTTAGCTCAGGGGCAGAACTCATGTATCTATCCCACCAGTCTGATTTTCTCCTTCAGGACCTGGAAGGTACGCTTGTCTGGATGCAGAATGGAGAAACTCCCCTTCCCTTCAGTTCTCTAGACAAGGGTCAGCTTTGCTCTCCATTGGCTGACAAATTCTGGAGCCACTGGCACAAAATCCTATACTACTAGATATTTTTCTCCATCATCATACTCTAGGTCATGTCCCCTTTCAGAAATGGGGACCTATTGCTCTTGCTAGCAATAATGATATGATACATAAGATTGTGGGGTACCATTACTTCCACCATGAAAAAGTACAGTGACAGGTTTGTGGCAGGGAAAGCAGTGGGCTCTATCTACGTCACAAAACAACTGTAAATAAATCTCTGTTCAAAAGCTTTGCTTAAAGGCGATTCATTCTGTTCTAATGTCAGGAAAAGTTTCTAGAAAAATGGAAAGTAGTCATTACTTCTGCATACTACACAAATCTACCATGAAGACAAATTAAGAAGCTGATGGGAGGGGTCAGAAATGAATTCTTTCTCAACATGCCTAATGTGGAAATATGTTTAACATGATTGTACACGTATAACTTACATCAGATTGCTTGTTGTCATGGGGAGGGGAGAAGGAAGAGAGAGAAAGAAAAATCTGGAACTCAAAATCTTATAAAAATGAATGCTGAAAACTAAAAAAAAACAAAAAACAAACCAAAACTCCAAACCCAAAAAACCACAAGTTACAGATGCAAAAGTAGATAGATGCCTTCTGAGTGAAGGGATCCTAATCCTTAGTTACAGGAGTCTTATGGATTATAGGATCAGAGTTTTAGAGCTAAAAGAGATGTTATCTAGTGCAATTCTCTCATTTTATAGATGAGAAATCTGAGACCCAGAGAGGTGTGACTTCCCCAATGTCATACAGATAGGACTTGAATGTAATTGCAGGAAAAGAATCTCCAGGGGTAAAAAAAAAAAAAAATCTTAAAATCCATAAATAAGTCTAAAAATATGAAATAGCAAATGGCACAATCTTCCTCCTAAAAGATTATTTTACTTGGGGCTTGTTAACCAGGTGGCTCAGACAGCAACGTTCCAGGTGACCTTCCTAGAAAGCAGATAGGATGGCCAAAGCTTCAATTAACAGTAAGGGAACATTTGCTAAATTATACTACCATAAAGGAGGTGGGGCAGAAATGTGTATCCAGTACACAGATAAAGATAACAGAAGGTAGGATGAGGGAAAAGGAGAGGTCCAAGTAAGACCCTGTAGGAATACTGGAGCAACAACCCTGGCAGATGGGTGCCTGGCCATATTATTAGAAGGGGTAGGGTGAAGGGAAGGTTCAATAAAGGTTACGGTATCTAGTACCTGGCAAATGCACTCTAAAGTCCATCTGTGCCCACTTCTCCCTGGAGTTCTCATAAGAGAAGTTCAGAAAGCAATCCAAGTGGAGTGGAAACAAAATCTGACCTACAGCTCCAGGAGAGCTGAGTGATGTCAATCACCGCATCAAAACACAAATATTTATAAAGTGTTAGCTATGTGTCAGGCACTGTGCTAGGTGCCGGGGAGTGAGGAGGCTGGAAGCTAACAGCCAAAAGCCCTTTGGAAAAAAAGCAGAGCTCTTATTGCAGAAAACCCAAAGGTGTCTGGTATTCATCAAGAATGTGTGAAAATCATGACAGTAGCTGAAAGTGTGTCAAAAAAAGTTCTTCTCAGTATGAAAAACACCACATCTCAATTTAATTTAGCTAATTAAATTCAGAGCAACTTAAATGAGTCATATTATTCTAGGGATATTGAACTATCAGAGGTATCTACCTGGCTGTGTCATGACCTAGGGAGAAAATAAATACGGCACAAAGAGAGGAAGTAAGAACAAAAATAATTTAAGAAGCCTCCTCTGAAAGCCTGCTGATGCCTTCTGGGGAAATTTAGATGGAGTAGTAGAAATCAAACTGAACCATTGCTTAAGTATTAGACATACAGCAAATTCCATCTAAATTTGTATAGATGACGGAAGTGTCACCTTTAGGAATCAATGGGGAAAGATGATCCTGGGAGAAAAGAGATTCACGTCAGAGAGAAATACAGTGCTGGAATCCAGGTGCTACAGCTGCTGTAATAATAACCAACTTGCACTAAAGATGTAAAGATGCTGGTAGAACATTTTGAGACTGAACACTCACTACAACCCAATTTCTTACAGTGTTCAATACCACTGTATAGAAGTTAAAGGACACATTGCTCCTTTCTCTTAACAACTGATTAAACTGTTTTCATGGAATGTACCTTACAGGGGTGTTGCTTGGGTGCTTGCAGGGAAATGTTGTGTCAAGACAAAGTTTATGGGTAGCATTTAAAAATTAAAACACAATTCACAAAGTTGATTTTCCTCTAATCAGTAGTTCTTAAGCCTTTTTGTATCATGGCCCCTTTGGCAGTCTGGTGAAGATTGTGGACCCCTTCTTAAAATAATGTTTTTAAACAATTAAGGAAAATACTTAATTTCAGTGAGAGGTTAATGGAAATAAAGATATAATTTTTTCCCTCATCCCCAATTTTTTCCCCTCCAAGTTAATGGACTTCCAGAAATCTGTCAGATCTTTGGCATCTATGGATCCCAGGTCAAGAACCCAATACTCCAAATACAAGGAACGTTAAAAATATTTTAGTATGCTATTTCAGTTTCAATCTCATACTACTCTTTTCCTCTTTTCTCTGACTGTCCCATTAAAATAGCTTGTTATTTGTGATGTGGAGTAGATGCTAAATTAATGGCTCTGTGGTACCATATCCTACACTCTTATAGGAGATGGGAATGTTTTGTTATTTGCCATAGGATTAAGGGCTTTTTCTCATTGTAAACCTGGATTTGAATAAACCATTCCCCTGAGGAGAGGGTCAGGAGTCATAATGTAGCAACCTGAGCAGAGCAAGTGGTTAGAGGCAGTAGCTGGGCCAGGTAAAGGTATCCATTGTTCTTTGGCTAGGGCTCCATCTGCTATCTCAGCTTGACCTCCCCTATGCCCCCTTGAGGACCACACCCTCGCTGAAATAGCAAAATCATATTCAGGCATACACTTCTGTTGTTTGTACTTACAAATGCCTATCTGTGCTTGCTGCTCACTTTGCCATAAAGATCACAAGCTCCTCAAACCCAAGGGGCTGTATCCTCCAATTTTCGAATTTCCCATAATGCCTGATCCGGCATTCTGCCCCAAACTACACTGTTAATGAATCCCAAAGAGCTAAGCCGGCACTCACCATTCCTTCTGTCAACTGGCACTTGGCTCAGCACGGTGAAGCCGATAATGACATAATAAGAGATTCCAAAGCAGTACTGAACCACGTGAATCACGCTGTCGGAGAACACGCTGATGAAGAGGCACTCGACCAGTCTTCGGACGCTGTGGAGCCACATAAGCACTAGCACCAAGAAGGCAGACAGCACCAGCTCATCACCTGCAACAGAGAGCACAACACACGCAGCATGTTCCTCTCCTGGGGCTTCCGAAGCTGTTTTCCCACTGTCAAACATAGAACCTTCGAGCAAGAGACTTTAGTACTAGTTTAAATAGTTTAGCTTAAAGACAATTTAGTACAACCTCTCATTTTTATAGATATATAGTAACTAATGTCCACAGTTTCTCCCCCCCCCCCGCCCCATTTCATCATTGGCTAATTAAGTGGCAGTCATGGAATGGGAAGCCTGTTCTCCTGATACCGAGAAAGCACCAGACCTGGAGTCAGGAAGACCTGAATTCAATCCAGTCTGAGACACTTACTAGCTGTGTGGCCCTGGGCAAGTCACTTAACCGCTGCCTGCCTTAGTTTCTTCAACCATAAAATGGGGATAATAAGAACACCTATCACACAGGACTGTTGTGAGGATCAAATGAGATATTTATAAAGTGCTTAGCACAGTGCCTGGCACATAGTAGGTGCTACAAAAATGTTTACTATTAATTATCTTAAGCATCCTATCATAGCTCTGCTGTAGATTAGGCCTACACAATCTGCAGCCCAAGGGCCACTCACGACCTTCAGGCACGCCAAAGGATTTTGGGCGGCCTTTGAAAAATGTAGGCCTGCTATAAATGATACTTTCTGAGCTATATGGAAAGCACGTTGCAGACAGATAAAAATTATCTGGTCTGAAAGACAAGAGAAGTTATTTGGGAGGATGGGTTTCATCCTGTGGAGGTCCCTATATCTTGGAAGGCCAAGATCTGCCCGTGCTTCCTAGAACTTTGGGCAGACAAGACTAGCCTTGGAAAGCTGAAAAGGCATTTATATGTTGCATATGCAGATGAATTCTTCTGCATCCTTTCTTATTCTGGTCCACGTGGGGACAGGGGAGAGAAGTCATTTAAGAGACAGAACAAGGAAGAGTCATATAGAGACACAGACTGAACCAGAAAGGGACAGTGAATTAAAAACCAAACCCAAAGCAGGAAAATTGCATTTCACATGACAAATCAAATTACAGGACAGCCCTGCTCTGGACCTTCCCCTTCTCTCCCTTTGAGTGCCACTAACTGTTTAATAACACACACAGACACACAGACACACACAGACACAGACACACAGACACACACAGACACACACAGACACACACAGACACACACACAGACACAGACACAGACACACACACACACACACACACACACACACACACACACACACACACA